TTGCACTCAGAGAGTGTCATTTTCATCCAACGACGACTAACGTTCAGATTAATTAAGTCCCGATTTGTTCCATCTGCATCTGGATAAAATGAATAGAATGGCTTATCAGAGAAGGATTAAGAGGCACTTGTTCAGATTTAGCTAAAGCCAGCCTCGGAGTTTATGGATCCCCTTTGATCAAAGCAGTGAAAGGCTCGAACATGCAGTGGATTTCTCCAGCAGGATTCATTCCCCACCCCCCAGCTGGAAGAGAAGATCCACCCCCAACCCTCAGTATCCCACTCACGCAGAACACCTCGCCTCTCCCACGTTCCACATTAGCATGATGAGAAGCGCTGTGATATCAAGTGTTATTTCATTTGACTTACACATAGCATGTTATTTTTTTCCTTGTGTGGTTTTTCTATAATGAGTGCCAACTTGAGGGAGCTGATCATAGGAATGTGAACAAACACACACGCGCGCGCACACATATTTAGGTTGCCTGATCGATCTTCCTCCTTTTGTGAGATTTATGCGTTTCAGCGGCAAGACCAAATCCCTCAGGAACTGATGGTGCCACCGTGGAATAAAGCTCACTCTTTCTCACAATTACTGTACTTGGGCAGATTTGGGCAGATATGAACACGTAACACACCCGTCTTAAAAAAAATGGTTCTTTTGCCAAAAGCATTAAAATGAATCCTGTGTGGTGTTTAACAACTGCAGTAGTAAGACTTTGCTTTACTAACCAATCCACACAGTACATTTGTTAAAGATATCATTTAAAGAAAATTAGCGCTTAGTGTTTTCTTCTTTTATTTAGCTTCGTGGCTCGATAAAAAGGAAGGTCTGTCATTTCCTTTTGAATTTAACTGAGGTCCAATAAACCATGTTTTAAATGTGGGTTTTTCATCATCTCTGAGCTCTACTGTGATTTCAATTAGTGCCATATGTTTATGCATCTACACACATTCATTCAGGAGCTTTGCTCTCATGTATAACACCCACTCATTTGAATTTTCATTTTAGCCCCATTCTCCTTCTTTGTTCTCTATAAAACTTATTGGCTGTTGTTTTGCATCCTGTCATTCTGCTTCTCCTGCTGCCCATCTTCCCCGCTACCTTTTTCTCTCCTCCTTCTCCTTCTTGCCTCTGCCTGTGCTCGCTCCATCTCTTTCTTTTGTTTCATGCTCACTCTGTCTTTCTCCCTCTCTTTCTTTTTCTCCCCCACAACACCCCCAACCACCCCAGAGACCAAGCTTGTTTACTCTGTCTTTTCCACATCTCGGCTCTCTGCAGCTGTGACGGTAATCTTTCTTTCAAATATTTGTTTCTTCCATCTCCAGATTTCCCCCCCCCCTCCTTCTCACTTTTCGTGCCGCCACTGATGCACACCTCGTTCCATCCCTGAAATCTTAACTGCGCTTTGTCCATCTTGGCTCTTGGGGACTTTAAGGCTTGCCACCTTCAATTCACATCTACACATTGAGACGTAGCAGGGAAGCCGGGCAAGACGTAATTTTGCTCCTGAGGAATTCAATCAGCTTGCATGCTGTATGCTTGTGTTTTGGCAGTCTTTCCGCTGCTAACCAGTTAGCAATGCCTGTCACCACCACTGAGCTCTATATAGCCAAAGAGCTCTAGATGATGATGGATTGCTATAAAACGATGGCAGCCTCGGAAAGTAATTACCAACTTTGCCTGCGGTGGAAATTCAGCTGATAAGCGCCTTTCCAGGGAAGTCCAGGTATTGCCAAAGCAAACAGGTGAGACACATTGAAGGTCAGAACAGAAGTGATACAGACAGAAACAACACAGCGACACGCACGGTCATACACGCGCAAGCACACACCAGCTGAGCCCCATGCTAACGAACGCTCTTGACAGTAAAATCTAGAAAGCATGCAGAAATGTTCCTAAGATGAGTGCCCTTTCTGCACATGTGCAGACACACTGAATAAATGACAGACGAGCCAGTTCAGTGATGCAACAGAATGCATGCCAAAGATTTAGAGGCTGAATATCCATGGGAGAACATTTTATTATGGGTTTCTGATAATCCATTAGTGAGATCTTGGATGCTTGACAGCGTAGCTGGAAGCCATCCGATATAGAGTAAACATCAAGCAATGAGACTTCTAATCACACTGTGAAGTGAGATTTGTTGCAAATCGGTTGATGCCCCACATGAGTCAGTCTGCACTGTATTGTAATGCACCGATCTGCACATGTGTCATATGTGCTGACCCCAAATGTGCGGTGAATCACACGGAGATCATGTTCACCAGCCTAGCAGCTCAGAACTGCGATCTCTGCGCAACACATAAAAATCAATGGATCACAGAGTCAACAAATGCGGCTCCTAATGCTCGTCCTGTGCAATAAGACAAAATTAGATTAGATTGGAGCCAGTGGCCCGTAATGGTGAGGCCACTGGCCTCACCATTATGGGTGAAGGTGAATTGGAAACGATGGCGGTTAAAAATCATTTCAGTGACCTGACATGAGATCCATGGATCTACTAGGACCCCACAGGCTGTGCCTAAAGCACTGAATAATTGTAATGACAGGCCACTGGTGTCTGAGATTATGACCTGAGAGGAAAGGTTCTATGGCCTTGAGCCCAGTGAAGTGGCAAAGTGTAATTTGTCAAATGAGTGATCACTGTGAACCACGTCTTTGTACGAAACATGATTTATACAGTTTTTATAGATACATTTAACCTGAGGATGGGTGGAGGACAGACCACGCTGCATAATGAACACATGGCTTTTAGACCGCTGTGATCTGTTTGGCATTTGTGTAGCTGGTACAGTGGAGCCCATAGTGAATATTTTCTCTGTTATGAAGAATATCTCTACTTAAATTGTAAACTTTCTGTGGTGCACACTAATGAAAGTCTGTACAGTAATAACAAGACCTAGTGATCTCTCTCTCTCTCACACACACACACACACCAGCTCTGCTT